CTGGGGTGGAGGTTGATCTGATGCGCTGCGTACCTGACCGCAAACGGCCACAGAAAATGGGGGGCAGCCGCATGCATCATGGACGTACGGGCGACGTCCATGACCATGCCAATGCGGCGCTCAGCAATCCCATTTTGCTGTGGGGAGTCCGGAAGCGTGAAGGACTGGCGGATGCCTCGCGCACGACAGTAGGCACGCAGAAGGCCAGAGGAGAACTCTCCGCCTCTGTCCGAGTGCAGACGCAACACAGGAAAGTCGGAGCCAAAGCTCTGCCTGAGCTGAAGACGAGCTGCGCGGATCCAGTCGATCAGCACCTCACTGACCTCACCCTTGCTGCGCAAGGGGAAGACTGTGGTGTAACGCGAGTACTCGTCAACAACGAGCAGGAAGTAGCGCTCCTGACCCTGTCCACGGATGCGGGCTGGGCCCCACACGTCCATGTGAAGCGTCTGCAACGGGGCCTCTTTCGGAGGAAACTGGGAGGAGTGAGGGGCAGCACGCTGGCGCCCCTCGACACAGGGGACACAGGCAGGGCCAGGGCCTTGAGGAAGGGGAGGTAGAGACCGGGGGAGACCAGACACAAGAAGACGGGAGGCCATGCCTCTGAGCCGAAGCAGAGAGGGGTGGCCAAGGCGGTGGTGCCAGAGGAGGGTCTCGTGAGAAAGACGACGACACGAACAGGGGGCAGACTCAGGACCAGACCTGGACGCCGCGGCAAACACCTGACCAGACGAAGGGACCCTACCAGACTCAGCACCTGGAGGAGAAGCAGTGGTCAGTGTGTACAGGCTCGACCTTGGCCGACGTGTAAACGTAGCCAGGTGGCGTCCCGTGCTAGCCTCCGTGCAGTGGGTCACTCGCTGACGAGCAGGAGTGAACTGGTGGACACCCGCATCCTGTAGGTCAGCACCACTCACCAAGTTCGTCGAGAACGAGGGGAGGTAGAGACCAGACAGGGTGCCAGAGGGGGCCGCCGTACACGGAAGGACCGTGGAGAAGCGAGATAGGACAGGCCCCCCAGAGGGGTCAGCCAGGGACACCGCAACCGGCCGACTCAGCGGCGTGAGAGTGGTGCGGTCCCGAAAGAAGGAGCGAGACGCTCCAGAGTCAAGGGTGAAGGTGTGAGAGGCCGAAGCCGACACAGTACCTGAGAGGGCAAACTCACCAGTACCTGAGAGCACAGACGCACTGGCACCTAGAGCAGCAGCCTCACTAGCACCTGACGCAGCAGTACCAATGCCCGGGTCGGGCGGGAAACACCGGTAACAGTCATCCTCATCACTACCAGTCACAGCATACATAGCAGAAAGAATAGCATCAAAGTCAAGATCATAAATGGCTACACCAGCCCTAGACAGCTCCCCCCAGCGGGGGATCTCAGCGGCCTCCGGAAACTGCTGACGCCAGGCGTCGGTCAGGCGGCCAAAGCAGCGGCGGGCTGCGTGGGTGCCTCCCCACCTCTCCCCCGCACGGTCACCGGTGCGAAGAACATAGGGGCAGGGACCAAACGCACCACCACGCTGACGCTGCAAGTACCACTCACGGAGCTGCTGAGGGGCGGGGACGGTGCGAGAGCGCTGCTGCTGCTGCTGCTGGCGCTACCCACCCCCAGAGCTGCTCCGCTGGGACGAGCCACTCCGACCCCCGCCGCCACCGCCACTCCCGCCTCCACCGCCACCCCCGTCTCCACCGCCACCGCCCCCACCGGTACCCTCGCCCCCGCCTCCTCCGCTACCGCCTCCGCCGCCACCTCCGCCTCCACCGCCTCCACCAGTACCTCCACTCCCGCCACCACCTCCACCGCCACCCCCACTCCCTCCGCCACCCCCACCTCCTCCGCCACTGCCCCCTCTAGCTCCACCCGCTCCCTTGCCCCCCTTGCCCTTGCCAGAGCGGCATCTACCGCTGGGGGCAGACGCCGCACCGACCGACTCAAAACCAGCGAGGTCGGCCGCAGCGGCAGAGGCGACAGAGGGCAGCAGGGGGGAAGGAGAACACCCCTCAAAGATGGGGGTGCGAGGGTCACCCCGAGAGGCCCCTACAGCGACGATGCTCTTCTCAGCCGCTAGCAGGGACTCCTCAAGGAGGTCGACAGTGAGGGTGGTGGGACAGACAGAGAGAAACTAGTCCCTAACGACACGAAGGGACTCAGGGAGACGAGTGACGAGAAAGTAGAGAGTGATGTACATGGGAGGAGGGTTTGCGGCGCGGAACTCAGCAGGAAGGGCAGCGCGGTAGCGAGCGTCACTAGCGCGGAGGTGGGTAACGAGGTCAGCGACAGTGGGAAAGGCAGCGAGGTCAGGGAAGAGAAACGGAAGCATGAGGCGGCTCAGCGTAGCGGAGGAAGGGGAGGAGTAGCGTGCAACTACAGCGTCGTACAAGGCCTGAGGGGTCTTGCACTGACTAAAGTGGGCACGCTCGGAGGAAGGGAGGTGGCGACGCACAGCAAGACGTGCAGCAGCATCGCGTGTGGCCCACTTGGAGCGATCAGCAGGGTCAGCATCAGCAGGAGGGGCAGGGACAGCTCCAGAGACAAAGTCAAAGAGAGAAACCTCATCGATCGCATCGCACAGTAAGTACAGCTGCAGGTCCTCAATCCAGACTGGAAAGTCAATGGCGCGACCCTCAGCGTCAAAAGACAGGACACTGGGGGTGGCCATTGCAGCAGCTGATTGTCTCACCGGGCACGAAGAGTCGGGCAGCACAGCGGCTCAGCAACTCGGCAGAACAGCAGCTGCGCACGCCTCGGAGCAGCAGCAGCCACGCAGGAGCAGGAGCTCGGCTCCTCAGGATGCCCGGGCGGCTCGGGCGGCTCGGGTTGCTGGGGCGGCGCGGGCGGCTCGGGCGGCTCGGGCGGCTCGGGCGGCTCGGGCGGGTCGGGCGGCTCGGGCGGCTCGGGCGGCTCGAGCGGGTCTGCTGCACGGGCGGTTGGGGCGGCTCGGCTGTACGGGCGGCTCGTGCGGCGCGGGCGTCGCGACGGGCGGCTCGCTGGCGGCTCGCGGGCGGCTGCACAGGCGGCTCAGGGACGGCGGCGCGGGCGGCTCAGGGACGGCGGCCTGGGCGGTCGTGGGCGGCTCACGCTGGGCGGGTGCACGGGCGGCTCGCGGGCGTCGCGCGCTAGGGCGCTGGGGCGACGACGGGCGGCGCTCAGGCGTCAGGGCGGGCGGCCGTCAGGGCGCAAGGGCGGGCGGCGCTCGGGCACTAGGGCGATCGGCGCACAGGCGCTAGGGCGGGCGGCCGTCAGGGCGCTAGGGCGGGCGGCGCTCGGGTGCTAGGGCGGGCGGCCGACAGGGCTCTAGGGCGGGCGGCCGTCAGGGCGCTAGGGCGAGCGGCGCACGGGCGCTAGGGCGGGCGGCCGTCAGGGCGCTAGGGCGAGCGGCGCACGGGCGCTAGGGCGGGCGGCCGTCAGGGCGCTAGGGCGGGCGGCGCTCGGGCGCTAGGGCGGGCGGCGCTCGGGCGCTAGGGCGGGCGGCGCTCGGGCGCTAGGGCGGGCGGCGCTCGGGCGCTAGGGCGGGCGGCGCTCGGGCGCTAGGGCGGGCGGCGCTCGGGCGCTAGGGCGGGCGGCCGTCAGGGCGCTAGGGCGGGCGGCCGTCAGGGCGCTAGGGCGGGCGGCGTTCGGGCACTAGAGCGGGCGGCCGTCAGGGCACTAGGGCGGGCGGCCGTCAGGGCGCAAGGGCGGCGGCGCTCGGGCGCTAGGGCGGGCAGCCGTGAGAGCACTAGGGCAGATCGAAAATAAGTTAAGCGGTAGCGGTGGTGGGCCCTACGAACAGTTCCCACAGGGGAACCTGCTCGATACCATGAGAAGAAGTGAACGAGAAAATGAAATGACTATGAACGAAGTGAGTACAAATGGGAAACCCTGATTGGGTTGTACCCCTTATGGGATACCCCACTATATCCTACAGAAACAAGTAAGCTATATGTTCTAACAGTTTAACCCCCATAATGTCAGCCGAAAAAGGGCAGCCCGTTTTTTCGAATGGACAAAGCATGCACCGCCTGACTTCGATGATTTATTGAGCATGTGTTTTTTCGATGCTGGTTAAAAATGCTCAATCGCCCTTAAAGCCTGAGGTCAGCATGGTAAATTTTCAAGTTATATGGGGTTGAAACAGTCTAGCGAAAAAGCAAAAAAAAAATCGCGTATTTTGAAAATGTGTGTGGGGCGAAAGCGAAATCAGGAGGCGGGTACAACAGCCTTCACCACGATACTATGCGACAGCTGTTTCCAAGGATATGGGAGGATCGAATTACTCAGTGTGCGACAAAGCACTGCTCTAGCCCCACCACTTGTGGGGCACACTGCTCTTCTCTTGGGGTTGAAATGGTGGGCAATGCGAAACTCACGCGAGTGAGAGTGAGGCGGTACACTGAGCACTATTTTTACAATTTCTAATTTACCAAAATGTTCGGATGCTTTTGAGACTTCACTTCATAAAAACACAACATTTCAAGTGCTGAATAGGTACAGAAAAGCATTGAAAGCAAATTGTGAATAAAAAAAATGAAATATCAAGAAACGCATTAGCAATACATTTCGGGAACGCACTCTCTCAAGCTCAGATCCCGCAACTCATAAGGATCTCGGCTGGCCTTATAGCGACATGCCGTGCTGGTCCCCGCACCACTCTTCACTCCCCCGGCCCACAGCAGCGCTGACCTGACGTGCGCTGCCACCATCATTTCCGCGGCATCCTGCTGGGCAGTAGAGGAGGCTGAAGGCAGTTTCGAGAGGAGGCTGCCTCACAGCTCCGCTAGCTCGCCTCACAGCTCCGCCAGCTCGCCTCACAGCTCCGCCAGCTCGCCTCACAGCTCCGCCAGCTCGCCTCACAGCTCCGCCATCTCGCCTCACAGCTCCGCCAGCTCGCCTCACAGCTCCGCCAGCTCACCTCACAGCTCCGCCAGCTCGCCTCACAGCTCTGCCAGCTCGCCTCACAGCTCCGCCAGCTCGCCTCACAGCTCCGCCAGCTCGCCTCAGGGCAGATTCACTCGAATATCCAATGGATGCGGTGCTTCGGTGGCCTGCCGCGATGAAAAAGGGGGGCAAAGGGGGAGGGAATGGGGAGAGAGTGACGCTCATCACGTGTGACAGGGGATCCATTCATCGAAGAACTTAGGCATGTGCGTGCGTGTTGCTACGCACCGTGTAGAGAAGGGAAGGGGATGGGGGGGAAGCAGAGAAGGGGATGGGGGGAAGCAGGGAGCGGGATGGGGGGAAGCAGGGAAGGGGATGGGGGGAAGCAGGGAAGGGGATGGGGGGAAGCAAGGAGCAGGATGGGGGGAAGCAGGGAAGGGGATGGGGGGAAGCAGGGAGCGGGATGGGGGGAAGCAAAGAAGGGGATGGGGAGAAGCAGGGAAGGGGATGGGGGGAAGCAGGGAGGGGTATGGGGGGAAGCAGGGAGGGGGATGGGAGGAAGCAGGGAAGGGGATGGGGGGAAGCAGGGAGCGGGATGGGGGGAAGCAGGGAAGGGATGGGGGGGAGCAGGGAAGGGGATGGGGGGAAGCAGGGAAGGGGATGGGGGAAGCAGGGAATGGGATGGGGGGAAGCAGGGAAGGTGATGGGGGGAAGCAGGGAATGGATGGGGCAGGAGGCAGTAGCTCCTAGGGCGGCAGCACCTAGGGCTCTTTTTTTTTGTTTTTTTGTTTTTTTTTTTTTTTTAGGGTTTAGCAGGGCGCTGCAGAGGCGGCTCGCGGGCTGCAGGGGCAGCGCGCGGGCTGCAGGGGTGGCTCGCGGGCTGCAAGGGCAGCGCGCGGGCTGCAGGGGTGGCTCATGGGCTGCAGGGGCAGTGCGCGGGCTGCAAGAGGCAAGCGCGCTGGCTGCAGGGGCGGTTCGCGGGCTGCAGACAGGCGCGCGCGGGCTGCAAGAGTCTGCGCGTGGGCACCGTGCACGGCGCGGCGCGACGCGGGGCGAGCAGGGGCAGTGCGCAGGCAAGCAGGGCGGACGGGTGTCGCGGCGGGCTGGGGAAGCCCGCTCTGACGACGCGACAGGCACGAGTAGGGCCGACGGGCGACGCGACGGGCTGCAGGGGCGTGCGGCGCGACGGGCAGCAGGGGCGCGTGACGCGACGTGCTGCAGGGGCGCGCGACGCGAGGCAGGGCAGGGCGTGCGCGGGGCAGCGCGACGCGGGGCAGAGCAGGGCGTGCGCAGGGCAGCGCAACACGGGGCAGGGCAGGGCGTGCGCGGGGCAGCACGACGTGGGGCAGGGCAGGGCGTGCGCGGGGCAGCACGACGCGGGGCAGGGCAGGCGTGTGCGGGGCAGTGCGACGCGGGGCAGGGAACGGCGTGCGCGGGGGAGCGTGACGCGGGGCAGAGCAGGGCGTGCGCCGGACAGCGCGACGCGGGGCAAAGCAGGGGGTGCGCAGGGCAGAGCAGGGCGTGCGCGGGGCAGCGCGACGCAGTGCAAGTCGTGCAGAGGCAATATGACACTAGGCAGGGCAGGGCAGGGCGCGCGCTGACTGTGCAGCGCATGTCAGGGCATGGGGTAGCGCGGTAACCGCAGTCGGTCACTAACTAATGGTGGGCCCGAAAAAAAAAAACGGTCCTACGGACCTATTGCTCTGAAACCATGTCAGAATCTGATGAGCGGGAATGATTGCATTGAGATCAAACTGGGTACAAGTACTAACCCTAATTGGGTTGTAACCCATGTAGGCTACCCCACTACAGCCTACACAATATAAGCAGCATTATAGTATAACAGCACCCGCCATTTCATTTGGCTATCAGACTACGGGCCGACCACCACAGAGCCACTGATACGCGTTTTCCGCGGATCCTCACCGCCATCATCAAAGGACACTGCTCCATCTTAAACTACAATCCGCACATGGTGTATGCAAGCGTTTGAAGCCGCAGGCATCGATTCAACACACCTTGGCACCCACTCCTTTTGCAAAGGCGCAGCCACGGTTGCAGCTAGTGTGGGAGTCCCGGATCGCATCTTCAAACAGCTCGGGCACAGGCGAAGCGAGACAGCAAAGGATATATACGTGACCCTCTCGCAGGATCACCTTATCGCAGCATCTCGCAACATCCAAGACGAAGCTTGTGCACGTCAACCTCCCAGCATCATCGCGCCATTACGAGGCACCGCCAACTGTCAGAGGTCCATTGGTGTTCCCCGATTGATTCTAGGGAAGGGTTACAGGCACGTTGTCCTCGGGGGTTATGGGCGCACTAACCCGTTACACGAACAAGCTCTTTTATCCCAGTGGTTAGTGGCTGGGATTCTGACACCAACTTTCTCTCCCCATGTCTCAGAAGACCCAGTTGAAATGAGACGTTCCATTTGCAAGGAAAGTCGCAAGCGTTCACAATATGTAAAATTTAAAAAGTGAAACATTTTCCAAAATTGTGTATTGTGAACTGTTACAATAGTAAGCACAGTGAGGAGCCATAGCTAGGGTTAGCTAGCTAGGCAAGAGAGAAATGAACAAAGGAGGGGTTTCACAAGCAACAGTTTGGATACATACAGCAAACCCTAGCAGGGTTGTACTCGCTATAGAGCACCCCACTACAGGCTAGATAATAACATTATGACACACCCCCATAGCCAAAGTGGGGTGTAATCAGCAGAGCACGCAGTCATAGAGCAGGCTCACAAATGTAAGCAAAGCTAGAGGCTATCACAGAGGGCAAGTGAGGAGGAGGAGGAACTGTGGAAGGAGAGAAGATGGGAGGCAACGTCTGAAGCTGTAGAGGCACGGGCACAGGAGCGGCTGACTCAGTGGCTACCGAAGCAAGGGCGACGGACTACTGGAGTGACTGGCTCCGCGGCTAAGATGAGCGGCAGGAGCAACGGACCCACTGGCGATTGGTGCAACAGGCTCACTGGCTACCGAAGCAAGGGCGACGGACTACAGGCGCTGTAGGCGACACGACAGCTACCTCCACACAACCTCCTCCAACTGACCCACACCCTTGACACACACCCCCTGCTGAACCCCTAACTCCACTCCCACGTCACCCTCCTAGCACCACTCCTTCGGCTCCCACACACCCACCCCCCTGAGCGGCAGCTGCAGCAGCGGGAGACGGAGGAGGAGGAGTAGTGGAACGGCGCACAGAAAGTGCACCCCCATACCCCCAAACCCTTATTCAGGAGAACGGGCAGCAGCAGGGGTGGGGCACCGTCAGAAGCACGGGGGACAGCGAGCAGCTCAGGGGTAGAGAGGAACGGGCCACCCACGGGCCTGACACAGCCCGACGAGCCGCGCGCAGGCGGCCCGAGCCGCGCGCGGGCCTGGCGCAGCCCGTACGGGCCGTGCGCGGGCCTGGCGCAGCCCGTACGGGCCGCGCGCGGGCCTGGCGCAGCCCGTACGGGCCGCGTGCGGGCCGGGCGCAGCCCGTACGGGCCGCGCTCGGGACTAGCGCAGCCCGCGCTGGCCGGGACGGGCGACGGGGGACGACGGGCTGGTCCCCGTCGCCCGTCGAAACGCCCCCCGGGGGCGACGTGCGGACCGACAGGGCAGAAAGCCGCCGCGCGCCTCGGGGCGCACGGCAAGCAGAGAACCGCCGCACGCCCTGGGGCGCATGGCGGGCAGAAAACCGCCGCGCGCCTCGGGGTGCACGGCGGGCAGAAAACCGCCGCACGCTCCGAGCTCGCGGCGGGAAGAAAAATCCGTCGCACGCCACGGGGCGTGCAACACACAGAGTAGCAGCGGAAGCAGTTAGGTGGGCCCACAGGCCAGGAGCGTAGATGCTCTGATAGCATGTTACAATAGTAAGCACAGTGAGGAGTCATAGCTAGGGTTAGCTAGCTAGGCAAGAGAGAAATGAACAAAGGAGGGGTTTCACTAGCAGTAGTTTGGATACATATAGCAAACCCTAACAGGGTTGTACTCGCTATAGAGCACCCCTCTACAGGCTAGATAATAACATTCTAACATGAACAGCGAAGCGAATTGTACCGAAGCAAAGGCTTCGGCGAAACGCTACTTCCCCTCTTTTTGGTATAAAAGAGGGGGCGAAGGCCATTTGGCCTTCACCCACGTTTTCATTTCGAACTTTCAATTTCAAGTTTTCCGCCCCCCCACCTTAGCATGAGATGCATGATAGCTATACCCACCCACGTATGTTGTACAATACTTGGACCATAAAAATCTTGTACTACCCAGCTGAAATGAGACGTTGCATTTGTTGAAATTAGACGTTGCATTTGCAAGGCAAATCGCAAGCGTTCACAATCCCTCTCATGGTGTAAGCGCTCGGCCATGCACCATGCAGCGGATCAATGGTGTGTCACTTTGCTAGGGGGAACGGTTTTCAGGAACCATCGTATTGCTAAAAACGCAGGCGTTAAAAGGGCTGTTCGGCATGCATTTTAACGCGCTCAGGTTCGACATCAATCCGCCTATCTCGAACCTTTATAACCGATCGCTCGCTTGCCGTATCGTTTTATTGTAGCCGGTCCCTGAGCCTGATATTAATGCCCTTTTAACGCCTGCCGAACAAGGCCCACTTTTGGGGCATAGAAATTCAACCGTCTGCTGGTTCAAAGCTGTTTCTTCGCCAGGCAAAAGGTCGCACAACTGGTGCGCTGCTGATTTTCCCTCTAGAGCTAGCATCAATCAGCGCACAAGTTACGCGGGAACAAATCGCGGGGATGCATTTTGGCTGTGTGGAGCTTCGTCGCAACATCCACGCTTCAAATTTGGATTGGGTGCGAAAGGAATTTTCCAGGAAAGACTGGCCCGTACATTTTAAGCGCAGGCAAAGTCCTCCTGCCAGGCCCTCAGAAGTCAGACTTTTTTCTCTGATTTGGACTTTTTTCTCTGATATTTCAGATTTTTTTTCTTGTGTACTCTGATAAAATCAGACTTTTTTGGGCCTCAACTCTGTAATTTTCAGACTTTTTTAAAGGCTAACTCTGAGAGTTCAGAGTTTTCTGAGAGTGCACTCTGATAATTCAGAGTACAAACGCGTCCTTGACTGGTGATTCGGACTTCGGGTCACAGCAGATTCGCACTGACACAGAAAATCCGAGTCTTACAGCACTAGATTTTCGCCCAATCAAAGGAAAATTTCTCTGACACATCAGATTTGCGCTGTCAGAGTACAACAATCTTCGCCCAATCACAACAAAATCGCCCTGACATTGCAGATTCGCCTTGACACATATACTTGCCCTGTCAGAGCATGTTTCGATAGCAGACGAATGAAACATTGAATACAGGTCTGATGAAACATTGAATACATTGATTTTGAATGATCAGACTTACACTCTGAAATTTCAGCCTTTTTTCTATACCAAGTCTGAGATTTTCAGACTAAAACTGTGTACTAGTCTGACGAATCAGACAGGCCAAAAACGAATCTGAGGGCCTGCCTCCTGCAGAACAATATACCGGTTTATGCATGTAGGAGAGCGGTGGACTATCCATTTCTGCAGCAGCACAGGGGGGGACGCAGTCGCCCCTCATGGAGACCTCTTCTACACTCCGCTCTATCCAGACTCCTCTCTTTTCCACTCAATGGAGACTACAACATCTCATCACTTGCCTTCCCAACCATTGCACCTGTTCAGCATGCCTGCTTGAGGATTGTTTGTTGAGTTGTGTGTGTAAAATCTGGAACTGTGCTGTTTTCTTACGGTATATTTTATTAAATTCCCTTTCAGTAGTGGTCCTGGGAGTGGGGTGGGGCACCGTAACAACACGACAATCAGTTGTCATCTGTCAATACCGTAAGTTCGCTCCCAAACCGCACGTGCGCACCGAGGCAAGAATGCCTAACGCCAAAGCCTGTCATGCCCACTGGCCAGGATGATCAGCAGGAGCAGCGGCAGTGTTGAGAGCGAGCCCCAGTGAGAGGTCGGCACAGCGCATGAGAGGCAGGTGCGGCACCGCAGCCACGGCCCGTTCCAGCAGCAGCGGCTGGCCGTCAGGGCACTGGTCGTGGGTGGGGGGGTGGTGGTAGCACGGCTCTGGTGGGGCAGGCGGGCAGGAGGAGGAGGCAAAGCGGGCCGGGGTGTGCGGGGCGAGGGCAGCAATGAGGTAGCCGAAGGTGGAGGTGGGGGAGAGGAGGAGGGAGTGGGAGAAGAGGGCGAGGGAGAAGAGGTCGATGATGGCGTCGTCCACGTTGCGCCCGTCGCTGTTGTCCTGCTGCTCCTCCTCCGTCAGCTGCACCACCTCCACCTCCGCCCTTGTACCACCACTGCTGCTGTCCCTGCCGCTCTCGCTGCTCAAAGTGCCACCTTCCGCAGGGCTGGTGCTGCTGCTGCTGCTGTCGGTTGCCCTGGGGCCTTCCTGTGTTGAGTCTTGGCTGCTGTTGCTGCTGCCAGCAGGCTCCACAGTCCCTCGCACGTGCACGGGGTGTCCGAGCTGGTTGGACAGCAGGCGGGAGAGGTTGTGAGCGAAATGAGCATTGAGCGACGCCACCATCACTGATGCTGCAACTCCCTTTGCTGTCTGTGCACCGCTCACCGCAGCAGCACCACTGGAAGAATCAGCGGTGCCATCAGTGCCGTGGCTCACCCCACCCACGGCAGCATCCCCAGGCTGGGCGGCCAGCAGCCCGCTCAGCGCCTGCCCAGCGCAGTGCCCCAGGACCAGCGTCCTCTCCCTCACGCGCTGCGCGTCCCAGTTGTGCAAGAAGCGCCCCTGCACGCCCACCCTTCCCGGCAGCGGTGCAAGCAGCGCGTGGTAGCGCACTGTGAGGCGTGCCCAGATGCGGTTGCAGGGGACGAGCAGCACGCGGGCCAGCGAGTGGAACGGTCGGTGCGTGGGGAAGAGCAGCAGCAGGGCGCGGCGGAAGGAGGGGAGGAGGTAGAGCGCGGGCAGGAAGTACTGGTTGGACGAGAGCAGCAGCGTGGGCGCACGTGCCAGCCAGCGCTGGTGGGCGTCACAGAAGAAGAAAAGGCCTGGTGGGGGCGTGTGGTGGAAGAGATCCACTCGCAGTCTGACAGGGAGGGGGGCAGGGGGAGGAGGGAGGGAGGTGGGCGACGAGTGATGCGGGTGTGGGGAGAGAATGAGGAGAGAGAAAGCGGGAATGCACAATAGGTTGCACAAGACATGAGTGCACAGGATGCAGCAGACGAAATGAGGAATAGCGCGTCCAGTGCAAACAGTGCAATCGGCATGAGTGCGGGTAGTACAGCAGGCACAGTTGCTTCACGTACATGGGTGGAACGGTGCACTCTGCATCGTGTGCCTCCGCACTGCTGTCAACGCCAGGAGCAGCAGCCACTGATAGCAGCGGCGGCAGTGGCAGCGGTGGTGGAAGTTGATCGGAGGCATTGCTGAGAGGGGATGGCAGGGATGGGGGTGTGGACGGCTGTATAAGCAAGGGAACAACGGGTGGGGCAGGAGCAGGAGCAGGTGCATCAGGAGGAGCCACAGGCTGCTGTATTCCAGACAGCAACTGCCTCCTCGTGTCTCCACCCACACCATCTCCATCCCTCTTCCCCTGCTGCTGCTCCACCTCCTGCTGACCCTCCTGCTGCCCCTGCTGCTGGCCCTGCTGCTGCCCCTGCTGCTGGCCCTGCTGCTGCTGCTGCTGCTGCTGCTGCTGCTGGCACGCCTGCCACGCCTGGCTCCACTCCACGCCCCTCTCACTGAACAGGCTCCACGCCTGCATCTCCTCCTCCACGCCCTCCCCCGGAAACAGCACCCACGACCCCTCGGGCCCCTCGCCCGCCTCGGAGAACGGCTCACAGAGAAGCGCCGCGGGGCCGTTGGGGCGGGCGAGGAGGAGGATGCGGCGGGAGAGCAGCGCGAGGGCGAAGGCGGAGACGAGGGAGAGCAGGCGGTTGCCTTGCCCGTCGGGGTTGTGCTGCCACACCAGGTACCGGCACTCACTGGCCTTGCCCGCCACCAGCGTGGCGCGCAGCTGCTGCAGGGGCTCCCTGTGGAGGCACTCCCGCCGGTACCGCTGGTACTCGTGCATCTTGCGCACCAGCGCCTCTGACTCTGCCTCTGCCCCTGATCGCCCCTGTGCGTGAACCTGAGCCTGCGCCTGTGCCTGTGCATGCACTGTGCGCCCGTGCCCGGCATAGCACGCCATCTCAGCTCGGCTCCAGCACTCCCCATCTCGCCTCCTGTACCGCATGTGATGGCCCCACTCCCTGGCTGTGTTGCCGCCGCTGCCGCTGCTGGTGGCATCCGGGGAGGTGGCATTGGGAAAGGTGGTATCTGGGATGTGCGTGGCGATGGAGGGAGTGGGAGCCACCCCCGCTGCCATGATGTCAGCACAGTCTGCAGGTGAGGGGAGGGCAGGCATGGGCAGAGGAGGAAAGAGGTGCGGTCACAACGTTAACGGGAGGCACAGGGTGTTTGCATACGCGTGGTGAAATGTTCTTATGCAAGCATGGGAATGACTGCGTGTTGATATATTTGGCAAGCTATGCACGTGTGCAGGTATGCGACATGGGCTCAAGCGAGCAAGAGGTCACTTCTGAAGATGCACTCTGCAGACTTCAACTGGACGGCGGGAACTAGGTATGTTACTCCGAAATAAATTAATCATTGTGATTCGAACTGCAGGATAGCAGTTTTAGAAAGCAAAATACTCTTAGCATTGTCTATGGCTTCAGGGAAAGCGTGGGTGACACACCTGGTTGTTACTTTCCAATTCAAGTCTGCAGAGTGCATCGCTGAGAGGTGACCCCTTGCTCATGTTGGTCCTACGTCTAACAGGCCTGAGGTGGAACCGCCATCACATGGGGAAAGCAAACGTAAGAAGAGCAACTGACATGCACTTCGCGCCTTGTCTAAAAAAAGCCTATCGCAACATTGCAGACATGGAAGACAGGTCCGCAGGGGCAGGGAGGCAGGGGCAGGGCGGCAGGGGCAGGGCGGCAGGGGCAGGGCGGCAGGGGCAGGGCGGCAGGGGCAGGGCGGCAGGGGCAGGGCAGCTGGGGCAAGGGGGCAGGGGCAGGGGGGCAGGGGCAGGGCGGCACGGGCAGGGCGGCACGGGCAGGGCGGCACGGGCAGGGCGGCACGGGCAGGGCGGCAGGGTGGCAGCGCAGCAGGCGACGCACCTCTGAGTTGGTTGCGGTCGAATGGCTGTGCGTGTGTGGCGGGAGGATCGGCCAGGCACGCCAGCAGCAGCAGGAGGTATCGTGCACACGGTGGCCCCAGGCTTGGCACATGCAGTGAGTGCAGGCGAGGCCGTGCGGCTGGCATGGCAGCAGCACACAACACAGAGGGCGCAGGGCTGCGTGCTGGCCACTGCGGGCAGAGCCGTGGGAGAGAGGCGGCAGGAGGGAGAGGCGGCAGGAGGGAGAGGCGGCAGGAGGGAGAGGCGGCAGGAGGGAGAGGCGGCAGGAGGGAGAGGCGGCAGGAGGGAGAGGCGGCAGGAGGGAGAGGCGGCAGGAGGGAGATGTGGCAGGAGGGAGAGGTGCACTGGTGTCAGTCAGCGGCAGGTGGGCGAGGGCAGAACGAGGTGAGGCGAGGGAGCCGTGGTGGAAGAGGGAGGCCTGGCACGTGACGGCGCGGCCTTTCGGGTAGGCCCTGGCTCTGCCAGAGGACGGCGCGTGCGTGGGAAGGAGGAGAGGAGGAAGGAGAGTGATTATGGAGGCTGGAGGCGGGAAGGAGAATGCGGTTGGGCTACGGGGAGAAAGAGAGTGGTTTGGGAAAGGGTAGCATGCAAAGTTGGGGATCGCGCGGACAGGGGAAAAGCACACATAGGGGGAAGCGCACAGGGGGAACGCGGAGGTGAGGGGGGGAAGAGCGGTGAGAGGGGGGAGCGCGAAGTGGGGGAAGCGCAAAGTTGACGAGGGGGAAGCGCGAAGGTGAGAGGGGGAAGCGCGAAGGTGAGGGGGGGAAGCGCGAACGTGAGAGGGGGAAGCGCGGATGTGAGAGGGGGAAAGCGTGAGGGGAAAGTGCCGAGATGAGGGGGAAGCGCGGAGGTGAGAAGGAGGAGCGCGGAGGTGACAGGGGGAAGCACGGAGGTGAGAGAAGGGAGCGCGCGGGGGAAGCGCGGAGGTGAGACGGGGGAGCGCGGAGATGAGAGCGCGAGGAGGATGCGAGGAGGTGAGATGGGGGAGCGCGTAGGTGACAGGGGAAAGCGCGAGGAGGAAGTGTGGAGGTAACATACATCCCAAAAAAGGCGTGGTCGGTTGGGCATACTTTTAGGGTTCCGAAAAACATAGTTTGGGCGCCAAATGCTCGCACCCGTGATTGGCTGGTTAGGTTCGAGAAGGAGTTCAGGGTCCCGAACCTATTTTACGGAACGCGACCTTGAAATGGCATATTGAGGGGCCCCTCATGGAAGACCGTACGAAGCATCAGCTGGTGCTTGCGTTTGTTGCCGCAAAGCCAATGCGGCAACAGAACAGCGCCTAAGTTAGGAAGGGTTGCATCACATTTGTCAAGCTGTCGCTTTGTCTGGATGGTTCGTTGATGTTTTCAACTCAAATTCGAAATTGCATGGGGACGAATGAAACAGTGCTTCTGTTAGGCCCGACGGCCTAAGTCCGCTAAAGAATTAGCGGGGTCGACTAAGTCGAGGATGAAACGCGGCGGAAGACTTTGGCGAAAGAACTATTGGCGAAATAGGCGAAGAAGTTACTGAGTAATTGAAGAAGAGTTGAATGATAATTGATTGATAATGGCAAGTACAAGCAAGGTTTATATAGCATGCAAGAAACAAGGTTGGAAAGTGGAATGTGGGACCAAGAATTGGAGTGCAAGAAAAGTAGAGTGCCACGTGGCACTAGAGAATCTGAGAAGATAAGGATAATGGTGACTAGGAATGTACTGTTCGGAATGAACAGTAAACACCCCTCTAACACTACCCCCCGCCCAAGGAGGCGACGTCCGCGGCGCCTGCAGACTGAAGGTACGCTTGGAGGCAAGCGTTGTCAGGAGACAGCGAGGACGAAGGAACCCAGCTGTCGTCTGCTGCGTCGTAACCACGCCAACGAACCAAGAAGTCGATGAAAGTGACACCCCCCTGGAGACGGCGACGGTGCCTGAGGATGCGCTGGATCTGGTAGCGGGCTCGTCGGTGTCAACAGCTACCGGCAGTGGAGTGCGATCACGGCCCGAGAAGGTGGCATTGGGATCGGTGTATGGGCGAAGGAGAGACACGTGGAATGACGGGTGCATGCGGAAATGTGCGGGAAGGCGAAGGCGGTATGCGACTGGACCTAGTGCGCGCTCAATGACGAATGGACCAATGAAACGTGGACGAAGCTTGCTGTCCTGTGGCAGTCGGAGGTTGCGGCTATCCAAGAGAACACGGTCGCCGACTGCGAACGACACCTCACGACGACTGCGGTTGGTGGTGCGTGCCATGCGTGCATTTGCGAGCTCAAGGTGCTTCCTCACGTGATCATGAATGAAGATGAGATGCTGGTGGAAGTTGTCCGCACGAGGGACTGTGGGTGTGAGATCGACACGAGTGGGGACATTGGGGTGCTGACCGTAAAGTGCAAAGAACGGTGACATGCCTGTGGCGGAGTGGTGCGTATTGTTGTAGGCGAACTCTGCCATGCTCAGCTTCTTGTCCCATGTGGCTGCGTCGTGCATCGTGATGCTGCGAAGGATCTGCTCCAAGGTCTGATTCACACGCTCGGTCTGTCCGTCTGTCTCTGGGTGGTACGCAGACGACATGGCTAAGCGAGTCCCAAACAGTGCGAAAAGCTGCTTCCAGAACTTCGAAGTGAAACGAGGGTCGCGGTCTGAGATGATGGAATCTGGAACCCCGTGCAGTCGGACTACGTTATCTACGAACAGCGTCGCGGCTTCCTCTGCTGTGACCTTGCCGTGCGTGGGGATGAAATGCGCTGCTCGAGAAAACTTATCCACTACTATGAAGATGGCGTCGTGACCCCTAACTGTGCGCGGTAAAGCCATGATGAAGTCCATGGTAACTACCTGCCAAGGGCGAACGGGCGGTGGAATCGGCTGCAAGAGTCCTGCTTTGCGCTGGCGAGAGGACTTCGTACGCTGACACGTGTCGCACGAGCGAATGTAATCCTCTACGTCTGCTGCAAGCCCGGGCCAGTAGTACGTGCGACTAAGCGTCTTAGCCGTCTTATCTGCTCCGAAGTGCCCTGCACTAACTACGTCGTGCGCCTCTAAGAGAAGGAGCTGTCGAAGAGGGCGGTAGGCTGGAACCCAAATCCGTGTGGTACCCTTCCGTATGTAGACACTACCCTGCACCTCTGCTCCTGCGGGCGGCTGCGGTGTGAAGTCGGGATCTACTGTGTAACCGTGCTCGAAGAGTGCTGTGAGAAGTGGGTGGCCAGCAGTGACTGTGAGACTGGCGAGCTGACAACTAGGGCGAGTGAGCGGATCTGCTGGGTTGCGCACGCCTGGCTTGTACTCTATCCTGTAGTGAAAGCTCCCTTCCATGAACTCCATCCACCTAGCCTGGCGACGACTCAGCTGCGGCTGCGACTTGAGGAAACGAAGCGAACAGTGGTCCGTGCGTATAACACTATCTGCCCCCTCTAGGTAGCATCTCCACACCTTATACGCATGGATGATCGCGAGCGCCTCCTTGTCGTGTATGGGATAGTTCAACTCCGCTCCCCTAAGCTTACGCGACTCGTACGCGATCGGCTGCAACCCGCGTCCCTGGTCCTGAAGAAGCACTGCTCCTATGGCCTGATCGGAAGCGTCGGTCACTACAATGTATGGGCGAGTGGGATCAGGGTACGAAAGTGTCGGTGAAGACGTGAGCGACTGCTTCATCTGCTTGAATGCCTGCTGCTGCGCTGGACCCCAAACGTACTCTACGCCCTTCCGAAGTAGGTCGGTGAGTGGACTAGCGATTGATGCGTAACCCTGAACAAAACGACGGTAGTAGTTCGCGAAACCGAGGAAGCTCTGCAACTCCTTGACTGAGGTCGGTGCTACCCAATCCTGTACTGCTGCGATCTTCTTCGGGTCAGTCCTAATGCCACTAGCGGATACGACGTGTCCTAGGAACTCGACCTCTAGAAGGAAGAACTCGCACTTCGACTGCTTAGCGTATAACTGCTCCCTCCGTAAGACCTCGAAGACCTTCTGCAAGTGCTGCACGTGCTCATCTTTTGTCTTAGAGAACACTAGGATGTCGTCTAGGTAAACGACAACGAGCGACCCTAGGAACTCGGAGAGGACTGTGTTCATGAGCGTCTGAAACGTCGCTGGGGCGTTGGTCAATCCGAACGGTAGAACCCTAAACTCGTACAACCCCTGCTTCGTACGAAACGCCGTCTTGTGCTGGTCCTCTGGAACTACTCGAATCTGGTGGTAACCCGAACGAAGGTCGATCTTTGAGAAGACTCTAGCGCCCTGCACTGCATCGAGAAGATCCTCTACTCTCGGCACCGGGAATCTATTCTTGACGGTGGCGGCGTTCAGTGCGCGGTAATCTATGCACATCCGTAACCCTCCGTCTTTCTTGGGTGCGAAAAGTATCGGTGCGGCCCAAGGCGATCTAGATGGCTGTATGAAACCCTGTGCGAGAAAGTGCCTAACTTGCTGCGTCATCTCCTCTGTCTCCGCTGGACTCAACCTCCACTGCGGCTTCGCTACTGGCCTGCTCCCCGGCTCCAATTCTATTCGATGGTCTACTGCTCGGCTGGGAGGCAACCCTGGGGGCAACTCGTCGGGGAAGACGTCTGCGAACTCTGCTAACAGTGCACTCACCTCAGCAGGAAGAGTTGCCTTCTCACTAACTGTTGCACTCCCTCCTTTCCCCTCCTCAGCTTCCACCTCCTCAAGAAAAACCGCGAAGATCCGTGCCGCACGCTTCACTAACTGTCGCAGACGAACAGCATTAATGATAGCTGTGGATGATGTGGCCCCATCGCTCCACTGTGGCAGCTCCCGGAACTCCCCGTCTACCTTGACGCTGCAGCTTCCCTGAGCCCAATCGAACCGAGTACTAACCGTCCGTAGCCAATCTCTCCCGAAGATAAAATCGTATCCGTCCAGCGTCGCAGAGTCGAAATCACGCCTGACTGTGATCGGTCCTAGCACTACGCGCAACTTGCGGATGATCGGTCCTATGTGAAGTGGCGTCCCATCTACCATGCGAGCGTCCTTGAAGTTGACTGCTGAATCTGCTTCGAGATGGAGACGAGAAACTAACGATGAAGAGACGAACGAGTGGCTAGCTCCGCTATCTACGAGAATCTTAACAGGAACTCCGCGAAGCTTCCCTAGAAGCACGACTGGACGATCAACAGTGTCTACCTCGTTCTCCGTAGATGAATGCTGCAAAGCCGTCTCCTCTACGTTGATAGACGTGGCGGGTACGGGAACCTCCACACCAGCTAGCGACCCGCTATCTACTGGCGGTTTCCGTTTCCCTGCTGCCGCTCCTTAAGCTGTGGGCAGTCTCGCTTCATGTGTCCCGGCTTTTTGCAGTAGTGACAGTTCCCCCTAAATCCCATTTTCTGTGAGCCGTCACTGTTAACTGCACCAATCTCCATGGGCGATGGTCCGTCCCTCGATCGAGCGTCGTTGATCGGTCTGTTGTATCCCCTATCGCGATCGTCACGACCCCGTCGGCTTCGTATTGCGTCGACGCGTTCTGCTGCTGCGACTACCGACTCGAAGGTGGACAACCCGTGAATCGCAATGACTTCCGCTATGTCCGGCTTCAACCCTTCGAGGTAGCGATCGCGCATCTCTGCTTCCGTGATATCGCCTATCTCGTTGCAGATGCTCAAGAACCGTCGTGTGTACTCCTGGACGTTGCCTATCTGTCGGAAATGACGCAGACGCTTCCTAGCAGCTTCGGAGGCGTTCACCAAATCGAACCTACTTTTCAGCGCCGCTTCAAATCCTTCCCATGTGGTCGGAACCGTGGTAACACCCAAAGCTAAACTCCCTAAGCTCGAAGTTGCAGCTGCATGCCCCACGCCCTGTTGATGCCCGTCCGTCTGAGCCCTTCTTACAGCAGTTTGAGTGAGTTGGCGCCACCACTCCAAGGCCGGGCCCCTCAGCAGTGTAACAGCGTACTCGATCCGCTGCTGCGCGTCCGCCTCTTGCACCCCGCTCGCGGCGAAGTAGTTGTTCAGCATGAAGAGCCACGTCCGCACGTTCGCGTCGCGTTGACTTGGGTCGAACGACTCGGGTTTCTGCGGCTTGAGTGC